GTGTCTTAAAGATGAGAATGATACCAATGAAATCTGACTGTGGTTCACACTTACTCACTATCTTCTTCCATCTTTTCAATAAATAGTCCCTGGATTCCACTGGGAATCTATGACATCCCTGGGCAGTATCCAAGGAAGAAACACATAACCTATGCTAAATCAGTTCTTCCATCTGGAAATCAGGTGCCACAAGTCAGTCTAATCAGAGCATATCTTGATACTTCTACCAGAAATTCTAGGAAAAGGATTTTCTCTCTTGCTGTGAGTGGTGTGGTATGGACATGTGAGTCCTATAGCTAAGCCTGTTGCCTGCAGATAAGGCCAACATATGGAAAAAGGCAGAGCTGAGAGAATTGTGGGGAAATAGAGCTGGAGCTCTGATGGAACCATGCCTGCAGCCCACCCTACCAGAGGACTTTATAAAGTTCCTGGTATGACAGCCAATGCATTTTGTTTTGTTTTGTTTTGTTTTTAATGTAAGCCAATTGGAATTAAGCTTTTTAAAAAAACGTATAATGAAAAATGTCTTAAGTGAGATATTTATAGATCAAAAGTTTTGGTTATCAAAGTACTCTATCGGTCGATGACAGCTGAGCCTAACATCAGCTCAACATGGAAAATCTTGTTGTCACCTCCATTTTATTCACTTAAATCCATGTCTTCTGACTCCCAGTTCTGAGTCTTTTTCTCACAGCATGACACTGTGTTGAAATGACATTCATCCCAGTGAATTCCAATAAAGGCAATGTGATACTTTATTGCCTACTTCAGAGCAATTCCCCACCCCTACATCTTTTATAAATAAAACACACATTTTTCTTTTTTCTTTTTTAGCTTCCTTTGCAGCTAAAGGTGGCCTTGTGACTAAGTTCTGGCCAATTAAGCTAGCATGAAATCTCTTAGAAACAAGCTTCAAGCTACTCCAGGGAAAGTGCACGCACTCTCGATCTCTCATTTCCTGCTGTCCCCACCCAACCTATTTTTGAATCCTGTCATGGTGCTACAGAGCTATGGGAGCATAAAGAACTAGGCTAGCTTGCCAAGAATGGCGAAGAGGAAGAATGGAAAAGTCGGGTCTGTGATAACACCATGGGGCAGCTGAACCAACACAATTCTCTTCCTCCAGAATTCTGGTTATGTGAAAAACATTAAATGTAATTAAGCCACAATTAATCAAGGTTTCCAATATTTACAGCCAAAACATTCCTAACTCATAAATACTGGTGCTTGGCAAAATGAGCCAATTTTCCTTCGAAGAAGGTAGGTGTGTTCAAATCAAAGCACACAAAGCTATGAATTTGGTGAATCTTTTGACTCCGAAAATGGTGTTCTTCTCATGAGTATCTTATCTTCCTGGGGGCCTTCAAGCCTACAACAGTCTCTGTGATCAACATTGCACCCTTTTCTTTTCTAAAGGGAGCTCTTAGGCTAAGTAATTACTAGAGTAGCTACTCAAACTGCACTATCATTAGGACAAGTTAAGCCCATATTTTAAGGGTTCACAGTGCTCTTTTCTTTCATTAAGGCGCCTCATCTGCCTTTAAGGAAAGATAGGAAAACATTTGAAATTAAGAAAAGTATAGATTGATGTAAGATAGAGAGACTCGGTACTCTGAACTAGAAACTTCTAATATCTTAATTGGTCATCTGTTAATGAGGGTTACTTTAAGTGATATTCCGTCTTTTACTGAGACAGACCCTTAGCTCACTGCTATGGAAAGTGATGCAGAGATATTCTTCATTGTCTTTAGGGCCTCTTTGGTTTTACCAACTTGCTTTAAGGCCCAGCCAGTGCCTCAAATCAAGTTGGTAAGACCAAAAAGAGGCCCTAAAGCCAGTGAGGAGATATCTCTGCTCTCCTAAATCTTCCTTAAGTGAATGTAGATTTTAAAAATCATATTCTTATTGCATCTCAGCCTTTTGGTTAAGATCAAATGTAAAAATTACGATCTTGATCACTGAGCGCCTACACCAAATAAGCTGTTGGACAGAGGGCATAGTATTATGGTTTTTATGGGGAGAAACCAAGAACTCCATCAGAGCTATTCCTGGCAGAAAACCTAAAGGTACTACTGCAGTGATTCCATGAAGGTCTTTGGCAAGATTTCCTGTCATTTCCTGTAGTTTCAGTTGCCCGTCTATGCTCAGCAGCAGAATAGGAGCCAGAAGCAAATGCCGTGGGTTGGTAGCGCGGAAAAGTCCGTCTCCTAAACCAGTACATAGGTCCAACCAGAGTCCTAGAGGTAACCACAAATACATAGCCAACCAACGCCGAGAGTGGCTTTGCTACAGACACCAAGAGCCTGCTTTTATCTTAGAGGGAATAAAAATCCCATTAGAGTGATGGTCCATTGCCTACATTTCTTTCTGACATTCATCCTTCTGGGGACTTAAGAATTCTTGGAACATATAGAAATGGACAAAAACATTTTAGGAGAATGGTGGCAGTGCTGGGAGTCATTGACCAATTCATATTGGCATGTTGCACCTAGAGTGCCTCATTCCTGAACAGAAATATCACATGATTCTAAATTTTTTCACTCTCATTATTGTTGATGTAAAATAACACATAGCTCATCCCCAAAAGTCCTCACCCCAAAAAATCGGACTGTAACAATAGATAGGCAGATGGTATCAGTAGGAATAGCCTATATAATGCATATGTTACAGAGAAGATTTATTTCGTCATTTAGATATCAAATGTTGTAACGTTTAGCATGTGCTGTGCGCCAGGTAGTAGGTTTAGGCTACAGGAAGTGAAGAACAAAGACCTAGTCCCTGACTTCAACGTTGACTCAGACTAATTGGGTTGACAGAAAAATCAAGATAATTATAAGACCCTTCACCCTCCCAACTAGGATTATCCTAACTGGGAAGAATAAATACATATTTTTTTCCTCAAATATTCCCTTAGCCTTTAGATCTACCCAGGCTAGTTGTTTTTCTTCTTTTCCTTTTATTTCTCTATTTTCTTTATGTCTCCCCCTTGATATCATAAGTCTAATTTTAGTTCCCAGCCATTCTTTAACACAGGCATTAGCATAGGCAGTCTATGTACAAGGTTTTTGCTCTCCCGTGATATGTCATACTTAATTAACTGTCACTTTTACTATCAATATTAACTGAGATACTAATTTGATGAATCTTAATTTCTCTTAATCATAGCATCATTTTTATCCTTCATTGGATACCTCTTTAAAATGACACACTGTGCAGAGGAGAAATATTAATAGTATATGCAGGTTTTTTTTTTTTTTTCTGAGATGGAGTTTCACTCTTCTTGCCCAGTCTGGAGTGCAATGGTGCAATCTCAGCTCACCGCAACCTCTGCCTCCCGGGTTCAAGCAATTCTCCTGCGTCAGCCTCCTGAGTAGCTGGGATTACAGGCATGCACCACCACACCCAACTAATTTTGGATTTTTAGTAGAGACAGGGTTTCTTCATGTTGGTCAGGCTGGTTATGAACTTCTGACCTCAGGTGATCCACCTGCTTCGGCCTCCCAAAGTGCTGGGATTGCAGGTGTGAGCTACCGTTCCTGGCCTCAGGTTTTATTATTTATTTATTTTCATCTCTTAAGTAATTGCGTATTTTCCTGGTAAGAATATCTGTCTTTTGTTTGTTTGTTTGTTTTTTGTTGTTTTTTTTTTTTTTTTGAGACGGAGTTTTGCTCTTGTTACCCAGGCTGGAGTGCAATGGCATGATCTCAGCTCACCGCAACCTCTGCCTTCTGGGTTCAGGCAATTCTCCTGCCTCAGCCTCCTGAGTAGCTGAGATTACAGGCACATGCCACCATGCCCAGCTAATTTTTTGTATTTTTTTAGTAGAGACGGGGTTTCACCATGTTGACCAGGATGGTCTCGATCTCTTGACCTCGTGATCCACCTGCCTTGGCCTCCCAAAGTGCTGAGATTACAGGCTTCAACCACCACGCCCGGCTAGAATATCTGTTTTTTGAACATATATAGTCACCCTGATTTCCTTGTTAGCAAATGTGTATTTGTCTTGAGTACCACCTGACTCTGTTTTGCACTTCCAAATGAAAATACTTTTAAATTTAATAAATGTTACTCCCCAAAAGAATTCTCCAGAATCTTTGGCACTATCTGTCTGGCAAAGGCTCTGTACTATTAATGGACACATGGAAAATATAAATTTGAGGGTTTTGTCTGTTCCTTTGGTAGCAGAGTCTACAGAGAGCTGATACGCAGGAAGAAAGAGCAGAGGGAGGGTAACTGAGCCATCCAAAGAAGTCTGATCTGTTTGCTGGCCATTCTTTCTATCTTCCTACATTCACTAATTTTTTTTTCTTTTCTTTCTTTCTTTCTTTCTTTCTTTCTTTCTTTCTTTCTTTCTTTCTTTCTCTCTCTCTCTCTCTCTCTCTCTCTCTCTCTCTCTCTCTCTCTCTCTTTCTTTCTTTTTCTTTCTTTCTTTGTTTCTTAAGATGGGGTTTCACCATGTTGGTCAGGCTGGTCTTGAACTCCCGACCTCAGGTGATCTTCCCACCTTGGCCTCCAAAGTGCTTGGATTACAGTTGTGAGCCACCACACCTGGTCTACCACTAATTTTTTTTTCTATAATTCCTTTTTTCCCCTTGCCTCACATCCCTCCAGCACAACACCCTTATATACATTGAGCACTAGTAAAGATGCCTTCTGGACTGCCTCACTTAGCCCACCATGTCATTGAGACGTGTCTGACACAGAGAATAAACTTGAGGCCCTATTAGGAAGAATCCCATCACTCAGATCTAGTCACCTGAACACCGGAGACCCATGAACAGAATCCTTCTCAGCTCCCTGGTTCTGATGGGTAAGGGATGAGATGGTGGCTGTTTTCCAGAACTTTGGCTCTCTCATTAAAGGGAGAATGAGAACTCTACTTCCTTCCTTCGTCAGTTCCTGACTATTCAGGGAGTCTTTTGAACCCTGAAGGCTAGAAACTCATGGAAGACAAATACAAACACAGTTACAGAGGCAGCACGTGCCTGAAGTCTACTCACCTCCAGGTATACCACCCAGGGCATCACCAACGTGGCCACCAGCAAGTCTGCCACAGCCAGGCTCACTACTAGGTAGTTGGTGGTAGTCTGCAGGGCCCGCTCCTTCAGCACAGCCATGCACACCAGACCATTGCCGAAGACGATGGCCAGGATGAGCGCGCAGTAGGAGAGGGCATAGTAGGCATGTGGGTGCACCTGGCTGGCACCTGTGGAGTTTTCCTCCCCACAGGTGTAGTTCAGGTGGCTGCTCAGCTGACTCAGAGGTGCCATAGCCCAGAGGGAGGTATGTGATGCCAAGGGCCTTCCTGTGAGAAGACAGGAAACAATATTAATAAAATCAGACTCTTTGGGGCTTGGTTGCTTAGTTACATGTTTGGATTTATTGCATCAACAAATATTTATGGAGCATTTTCGACATAGAAGGGACTGTTGTGAGAGTTGGAGATACAGCAGTGAACCAGGCAGATAAAAATTGCTCCCCTTTGAAGCTCCCATTCTAGAGGAGAAGACAGACAATAAACAAGATAAATAAATGATGTGGTATGTTCAATAATGATATGTATATTGGACACAAATCAGGGAGGTGGGTAAGTAGTGGGTGAAGATTGTGTGCATGGGGGTGAATAAGTCTGAATATAGCCAGGAATTCCTCATGGAGAAATCAGCAATTGAGTCGGGACCTGGAGGAGATCAAGAAGCAGACCATGCAGATATCTGATAAGACAGCAGTACAAGCAGTGAGAAAAGCAGGTGCCAGCAGGAAGAGCTAGCACATAGAAGGCATAGGAGGGAGGCCAGTGAGGCTGGAGCCAAGTGAGGCAGGAGTAGAACGGTGGAGGGGGTGTGGTAGAGAGGTTGTGCAGTGCCATGGGAAGTACCATGCTTGAACTCTGAATGGGATGGGAAGCTGTTGCAGGATTACAATCCCAGCTCTGATGCTTCCTAACTCTGGGACCTTGTGCTTATTAATTTACCTCTCTGAGCTCCAGATTCTTCCCATGTAAAATGTGGGACTAATAAAACCTACCTATCTTAGTCTATTTTGGGTTGCTATAACAGAACACCTGAGTCTGGGTAATTTACAAAGATCAGAAATGTATCCTCTCACAGTTCTGAAGTCTAGAGGAAGACCTAAGACCTGTGACTTACAGTGTAACCCTGAAACCCAAGCAAAAGTGACTCTTGCCCCGGGCTCTGTGCTATAAAGGAGCCCACTCTGGTCTTCTGCTATCATCTGAGGTTTGCGTCTCCCTAAACTCATATATAGAAATCCTAACTCCCAATATAATGGTATTAGGAGGTGGGGGCCTTTGAGCAGTGATCAGGTTATGAGGACAGAGCCGTCATGAGTGGGATGAGTGCTCTTATAAAAGAGACCCAGAGAGCCAGCTAGTCTCTTTCACCAGGCAAGGACATAGAGAAAAGACAGCCAGCTATGAACCAGAAAGCAGGTCCTCACCAAACACTGAAACTTCTGGTGCCTTGATCTTAGACTTCCCAGACTTCAGAACTGTGAAAAATAAATATCTGTTGTTTATAAGCTACCCAGTTTATGGCGTTTTGTGATAGCAGCCCAAAAGGACTAAGGCACCCTCTACTGATTATGCCTCTAAGCCTCTACAGGACGATTCTGTAACCTCCCACAGTGCCAAGGAGAAGGTCCACTAAGTTTACACCCTCGTCTAGACCACACTCAGAATTCTCTGCCAAACTGCTCAGAGCTTGTTTCCAGGGCATCATGGGCCTCATTCTAAATCTGTCACCCTGAGGGTAGACTATGCCATAAGTGTGGAGGGTCCCTGGGGCCACGTGGGTAGCTTTCAGTTACAGTTCAAACAAAGATCCTATGTAGCCTGAGGTGGGGGAGAAGAGGACACAGTCCCTGAGGCAGGTTAGGCGTGGGGGCCCAGCTTCTCCTACATGGTTACATTTTGTATGGAATTCTGAAGGGTCCAGTAATCTTAAATTCAAACCTGGCCTTCCACATTGTTATGAAGTGTATTTGTCAAGGTGGGAAGATTAAACATTTTACCCAGTGATTTGTTGGTTATAACTTTAATATATATATATATTTATTTAATATATATATATATTTAATATATATATATATTTAACTTTAAAATGTTTAAACATGGTACATACGGACTTTTATGGGAACTCTCTCTCCAGGCCCTGGCAGAAGTAGAGGCTGGCTTGGTGGCTAGAATTTGCCCTCAAGACAGGTATCTGTAGCTTGATTAGGAGATTGGCCTAATCATGGCTGTCATTTTGTACCTCACTTTGAAATGTCTCAGCCTGAAATGTGAAAGAGTTAAAATGAACAAATGATTGGAAAAGGGTGACCAACTTGGAATGAATTTAGAGAATTGTTTAAAAAAATTGTCCTTTATCTTGGCACACTGTTTGCACTCAATGTATTTTAAAACATAATAATAATTCTTGATAATAATTAGAATTTTCTCATTATTCAGAGGAGGGCAGCAGCTACCCTGGAGATAGCACTGCTGCTGCCAAGAGCTTTTGAAAAAATACAATGCTTTCTGATTGTTCAAGGGTATTTCCACTTTGAAGGCAGGCTCGGGCCCAAATGTCTTCCCTTTCACAGCTGGGCCACTTTGGAATACAGTGGCCAGAATCCCTCTTTTCTGGGGTCTGAAGCTAATGTCTTAGCTTCATCTTACCTACCACATAAGAGAGAGGCATAAAACCTTTGAATATTTGTTACCCTTTTGCCGGACTTTTTACCTGCCAAGAGGTTTGACAGCTACCTAAAAATGGTATAGCCGAATGCCAGCGGCTAATTATATGAAGGGAAACCCTCAACTCTGAAAGTCAATTCTGAGCCTGATGTTGGAATCGCAGTTGCATGGATTTCTGATTTCTAATTTATTTTTTTCCACATCTGATCTTAGAGCCTTTATAGCAGCAGGTGGGTTAAACCCTGATTGTCCAGGTAGTTTCTGAAGAGTTGTGGATGTGGGAGATGAAAGCAAAGATGAGTGAGATGCTAGATTACTCTCTGCCTCTCAGCTAATTATTTCACCTTTCTCCCTGCTTAGATTTTTTTTTTTTTTTCAAACAAGAGTTGCTTATATAACACAGAGCTGAGCTGGGCTTTCTTCTTTCTTTTACCCTCTGTTAGATATGCTAACAGATGGGAAACTGGTCTCAGGTAGGAAGAAGCAAAGAGCCTAGAGAAGTCATTAACTCAGTCACTCTCTAAGTAATTTACAATGATAGGCTGGTTTTCTCATCAGCAAAATGGGGATAATCATATCAATTCCATAGTGTTATTATAACGATTAAATGAAATGATACACATGAAGTTTGGCACTACTGACAATTTGGGCTGAAAAATTCCTTGTTGAGGAGGTCGTCCTGTGCATCGTGGGATGTTTAACAGCATCCTGACATCCACACACTAGATGACAGTAGCACACCCCTCCCCACAAATTGAGACAATCAAAAATGCTTCTAGATGTTGCCAAATGTCCCGGGGCGGGGTGGGGGTGAGCAAAATTGCTCTCCCCATTGAGAATCATCACTCTAGCATAATGTCTGGCACAGAGCACCAGAAATATCGTCACTTTTATTGTTAAGAGAGAAGTGGGAATAGGTGAAGAGTTAAATAAGCTGTGATTATAGAGTATCTAGTGAACTTGGAAATGATGACATTCATGGCAACCTCAGCAAATAGTGGATAGGAGGTAAAAGAGTAGAGAAGGCAGAGAACTAGAATATTACTCCTCACTTCATTCTTTTAAGATTCATTACATATAACACTACTTACACATTTTAATGAGCTTTTAAATTCCTTACAAAGTATTAATTTATCTTGTTCTTTATAGTTTGTTCTGGTATCTTTCAGAGTGAGTGCATAACCTATTTAAAAGTCAGAGGAACAGAGAGTGGTCAGGTCCTCATCAGTTATGACATTTGTCCTGCTTTGCTGATGTTCAGTTTCTCAGTGCTGAATAAGTCTGCCGGAAACATTTGTGGATTGCCTCCTTAGCACCTCATTAAGACTTACAGAGTTTTAATTATTTGTTCTCTTTCTGTAAGAGAACACATGAAGAAAAAGACAACTACATCTGGGCTACTAGTGTATGTCAGGTGTAAGTACTTTACGTGCATTTTAATACTTATAGGAGCCCTAAAGGTGGATATTGACATATTGCTTTTACTGATTAAAAAAACGGAGACAGAGTGAGACAGAGAGATTCAATTACTTTCTCAAGATTACACCATGTGTTAGGGACTAATTTGAACCAAGCTTTATCTCAGGCATTCTTAAATACCAAACCCACAATTATCTAATGTGTCTATGCTAGGTATGGAAGTTGACGTCAGTTATTCCCAGCTGGACTCAGGGGCTCATTCCTGTAGTCCCAGCACCTCGGGAGGCTGAGGTGGAAGGATCACTTGAGGCCAGGAGTTTGAGACCATCCTGGGCAATATAGTGAGACTCCATCTTAAAAAAAATAAACTAAAAGAAAAATTAGTATTCCCAGCTACTGGAGAAGCTGAGGCGGGAAGATTGCTTGAGTCCAGGAGTTAGAGGCTGCAGTATAATTGTGCTACCCCAGACTGGATGACAGAACAAGATCCTGTCTCAAAGTTAAAAAAACCCCACAAAACTTTCATTCCCAAGTTGAGATGGGTTTCACTCAACCAAGAACAAAACACTTCAGTAGCAAGCTTCCATGACCACATTTCCACTCATTTCACAGGTCTCTGGCTATTGCCAACTCTAATCTTTTACTCAGATGCCTCCTACCAGTCGCCAGAGCTTTTCTGATCTGGGCTATAATTCGAACTTGCTATATTGCTGATAAAATTAATAATTATTGCTAAAATTTATTATCATCATTCAACCCCACAACAACCTGATGAAGAGGGTAAGCACTATAATCATACCAATTTTTCTAGAAAAAACAGATGAGTCACAGAGAGGTTAAGTATCTCGGTGAGGCCACAAACCAATAAATGATGGAGTTGATTCAACCCAAGATTTATCTGATTCCAGAGTTCATGTTCTTAACTATGCCACTTTTGGGGTGAGAAAGACAAATGTGAAATGGGTACTAATTTTAAAATCTCACTTGTTCAGGGTATCTTATGCATATCACCTGACTAGGTTTGGTGAAGCAATGCAGGTGCACACTGCTCATAGAGCCAGTGGGAGTTACATTGTTATTATTATTAGAGACAGTCTTTAGCATTTCTATGCTAGTTCCTTCTTGCAAATTGCTGCTTATTTTCCTAGAAAAGATTCACAAATGCATTGCAATACATAGCATGTTTATGTATTTGGGCACATTTTCACTGTTGGTAAATGTACAGAGAAAAACTATTGCTGGTTACTTAGGTCCAGTAGCTAAGATAATAATTATTCCCCCTCAATAAACCTGTCTAGTAAAGCATAGCATACTCACTTTCTATCATGAACTCTAAAGACTGAGCATCCTACCATTCTAATCAGAGATAAAATGGGAAACTCAGGAAATAAATAAATCAATAAGCCAATATTAATTGATGACAAACTTCAATGCATTAGAAATTGAATCTGCTATTGAGTAGAAACTGTTTGGTATTTGCTTTAATGTATATTCCATAATAAACAGCCTTCTGTATGGATGCTTTAATATTGGACACCCATTTGGATACTGTCAGTATTTTCCTTGCTCAATACCCTTGCTCACTGCTAGCCATACAGACGCTTGAAAATATTCAACTATAAATAAATGAGTGCCTGAGTAAGAATCTTTCTCACATTGTCTTTACTTCTGTTTGACTATAAGAGATTCCAGTGCCATGTCAAGCAGTGGGTCTTCACTCTTACTTAAGGACAGACATTTTACAGACCTTTTAGTATCAGCAAGCAAAAGTCTTCACCTATAAAGTGAACTAGGCATGCACTATGAGTTTAGATTCCAAGTTTCACTTTGCTATTGCTGCATTATTATTCATACATGCATTTTGATGGTATTCAATTAAACTAAATGTATGAACTGGAACAAATACCTAATTGCAATGACTTCTGTTGCCCCAGTAAGCTACAGCAAGTAATGGAAGTCTCACAATTAAATAATAACAATACCCTAAAAATCATATACCATCATCAAAGGAAACATACACAATCATCATCTCAAGTACTACATTTCTCTGCTGGGAATAATTGGATTCTGACTTAGAAACAGCCTGACTTTAAATAGACCATTGAAAATAGTGCCTCTCCAAACCTTCAGCTCTGAATTGCCAGGGTGCTGAATTGAGGAGTTTAAAATAACAGACCCTTACAATTAAGTAAAATCCTTAAGAGGAATACAATCAACTTCCATACAAATCCAGGAAATAATAACGGCTTTTTGTTTTCCATCTTTTAATTCTTCCTTGATATAGCTTCTAGAGCCCACAAGGATACAATTTTGGGGAATAAAAGAAAAGAAAAAGGAATAGGAAAGGTTTCTACCGTCCAGCCACTTAGAAGGAAAACAAAACCATTTCCTCAGGGCTTTGGTTTTTAAATAAGAGTGGGTATTGAGTTTTAATGCATATTTTTAGAGATCCACAGAACCCCAAGCTGATTAAATAACATTTAGGAAAATACTATGTACTAAATTAGAAACGAAAAGAAAAATTACTTACCCTAAAATTTTCTTCTGATTTCTGGAGACCGAGGAGTTTACCAGTTCGGATCCTGCAGCCATTTACTGACAGCAGGCATACCCAAGCAAAGCAAAGTTTGCTTTTCTCAGGACTCAGAAACTATGCAAATGAATGGAAAGGAATCACCCATTTTTGTCTCCAAGGTGAAATTACTTGAGTGCTGCTTTCCAGCTTTCCTATTAGACCTTAGTGCATGTTTCATAGCTGCTTTCGAATGCATCGATTTTCTGTAGAGGATTTGGGAGGGACCCTAAACTGAGCATTGGTTGGGTCAGCCGTTCAGAGGTTCTGTCCTTGGTGCTGAAAGAGAGATGGAGTAGGCATAAGCAGGATCCGTTTTCTACCTCGCTCTCCTCTTTTCCTCTTTGTCTCTATCTGCTTTGGTACTGTGCTTTTTAGTACATGTGTATTTTCCCTTCAGTGCTCTTTTTAATCTTAGTTTTCCAATCTTTTTACCTTTATGCTTTAATTTCTCTTGAATAACTCTCACCATCCTCAGTTTAATTGCCTTTCCAGATTTTCGTGGGTGTAAAGATGATTAGTTCAGAAGAAGGAACAGATCATCAAATTGATACCACAATTGGTTAATGGAAATCAGTACAATTTAAAACACAATTGACAGGATAATTGAATTTGGAGGTGTAAGCCTGTCTGGGAAAAGAAGGTTAAAGGAAACATATTACAAAGGTAGCAAAATTGAGTCATGGTGTATAACTGATAATAAAGACGAAATAAGCTTAATACTGTCAGACATGTTAAATGTTTATGTAGCAGCACTTCTTGTTTTCAGAGAACTTTATTTGTCAATTCATTCTTACTGATTCTCTGTGATATACATACCACTGTTTTAAAAACTGGTTTAGAACAAGCTAAAGTGAGATGCAACCAAGGACAATATCAGTGAAAGTCAGTAGTAGAACATAAACAATCCTAACTTATGGTTACCTGTTCATCTTACATTTTACTGTGGAATCCTAACCATTTCCTGTTCTCTCTCTCTTTCTCTTTTTTATCCTCCTTTTAGGCAATGTGGTAATTTTTCTGCTATTTTCTCTGCCAACAGTGGATGTGCTTGGCAACTGCAGTGCAGTCCTGTGGAAGCTGTTTCTCATTTGACTGTGATGGAGACCTCTGCTGGCTGAGAAAGAAAGCAGCAGCATCAATAAGGTCTAAATACTGCTATTGATCACAACCTTCGTTTATTGAGCATGTACTTTTAGCCAGTCATTTTAATGCATTGCCCCTTTTAATCCTTTCAACAACCCTACAGGGTAGGTACTATTTTTACCACCCTTATTCTATGGATAGGAAAATAAAAGCTTAGAGGTTAGTATAATATCTGAAAGTTGCACAGCTAACAAGTGGCAGACCCAGGATTTGGATCTAAACATGCTAATTCTCTTAAACACTATGGTATATTCTTCCAAAGGTAGAAAATTTGAACTTCCCAGAAGATTGATAATATGTCAGAGAGAATAATAATTATAATGACAATAATACTAATACATTTGTATATAGTTATATTTATAAATCATTTAGGTGATTTAGAAATCATTTTGTAAATTATGTTCTTGTTTGCATCCTACATCAATCTTCATGATGCCTATTTTTACAGAGGCTGTTATCGGATAATTTGTGTCCTTCCAAAATTGATATGTTGAAGCCCTAACCTTAGAACATGGCTGTATTTGGATATAAGATCTTTAAAGTGTGAAATAAGCAAAAATGGGGACTGTTAGGACAAGCCCAAATCCAATATGACTGGCTTCCTTGTAAGAAACAGAAGAGACACCAGGAATGTGCACACAGAGGAAGGGACATAGGAAGATGGCATCTGTCTGCAAACCAAGGAGACGCGTCTGGCAGGAGAAACCAAACCTGCCAACCTGTCGATTTTGGACTTCTACCCTTCAAAATTGTGCAAAAATAAATTTCTCTCTTGTTTAATCCACCTCGCATGTGGCATTTTGTTATGGCATTCCTAGCAAACTAATACAGAGGCTTAGAGAGATTAGATGTCATATCCAAGGTTGCCTATAATTTATTGGGCATAAATGTATTCGTTATATGGTATAAGTATATTGAGCATGCTCTAAGACTAGAACTCCTGGGTTGAATGTGAACCCCCAGGTTTTTCTTCCCTCAGATAAGGGGACCAAAATAATATGCACTGCTGAAGCTTGGTTTGTCTGACATATAAAAGCAGGGATTAATGTCAGGTTGGTGTGGGAGCAGAAGGAAGCAGAGGCCTTTAAAGGAGTTAACCTCATATCACTCGCTTTCAGCAACATGGTTTTTACCTGTCAGTATCCTGTGTTTATTTTCTTTAACACTTGAAGATTTTGTGCCTAATGATTATGCTATCCTGATAATGCATGGATGTAGTAGGAAGAAACCTATTCGTAGACTTTCTGTGTTGAGAACACATATCCCATCTTCCCAGGGCAGTTATAAATGCTGGCAAGATACTCCTCAGCATGTTTTTAGTGCCTTTCTTTGGCAAACTTAAAAGGAAGATAAAGATGGATATAGACTCTTACTCTAATTCTATGTAGGAACAAGAGACAGGAAAATGAACTGACATGCCTAAAATCACACATCTAGGCAGTCGGCTCTGTCCCTACTCAGCTCTCTCTGGTAGACTCCTTGACCCCCATGGTGAATGGGAAAAGATTGGTGTGGAAATAGAAGAGAAGCAGGGTAAATGAGGTGATCCTTTCTCTCTGGACTTCACTATAGGTGAATTAGCAATTGCTTCTTTTATGTGACACTTTCCACTCACACAACACCAAATAGTTTTATTTTTTTAAGTAAATGGAACTGCTATTCATGACTGGCATTGAGATATGCCTTCTGGGAAGAACTCCAGGATGCCTACAGGACAGATACGCCTTGGTAGAAATCATGCAGGGCGCAGTGGCTCACGCCTGTAATCCCAGCACTTTGGGAGGCTGAGGCAGGTGGATCACGAGGTTAAGATATCGAGACCATCCTGGTCAACATGGTGAAACCCCGTCTCTACTAAAAATACAAAAAAATTAGCTGGGCATGGTGGCACATGCCTGTAATCCCAGCTACTCAGGAGGCTGAGGCAGGAGAATTGCCTGAACCCAGGAGGCGGAGGTTACCGTGAGCCGAGATTGCGCCATTGCCCTCCAGCCTGGGTAACAAGAGCGAAACTCTGTCTCAAAAAAAAAAAAAAAAAAAAAGAAAAAAGAAAAAAGAAAAATGTAGGTTATTTTCTTTGACTTCCTTCCAGAAACTCCATCTCAATAGCATGGCTGGAACATTCTCATGTACTAGCCAATGGCTGGCCCTTCATCAGGAAAGTCTTTCTGTTTTGAACTTGAAGTAGGAAGTTTAGAAAAAGAGTGGAGAGATAGTGAGCTTCTGATATGTACGGTTACTCAGTGATTTTGTTTAAAAGGAAATTGATGTGAAGTTTGTGGTGGGAATATTCTCTTCTTGTCTTTGAAATGCTGCTCCATGGAATGACCTTGCCTTGAGCCCCGACCTTTGAGTATGACATGAGTTTCTCACACCACTTCCAACCCCCACTGAGCTCCCTCTCACCAGAACAGTATGGAGACCAAATGAAGCAGTGTGGGGAGCCAATTTGCAGGACCTGTATGAATAGATGAACATTTTGTTTCCATGTCTTATTATAACTAGCATTCCTTACTGTGACCTGGAAGATTTGATTAACATGATGATCTTAAATTGCATGTATACTAATCAGGTCTGAAGAATATCCTCTTAGTATATTTTCCACTCAAATCAGAACTCAAGTGGTATAAGTCTAAGTGTAAGTTAGCAAATGCAGTGAGTGCTCCAGCAGTATGGTTATTTCTTCTCAACCGTAGCCCCCGTTCCTCTCCAGTGAGATCTGGTAAAATGAGGACCATCTGAGAAAGTCTTAGGGTTTACATTTAAATTCATTCTTCTGCTATAATAAATTCTTGAAAGAAAATTAGTTCAATTCATTTATTATTATCTAATACTGAGCACCACTTTCTTTCTTCTTTCTACCAGAGAATGGAAGCAAATAACAGAAGGAGGCTTCTCGTTCAATCAGATTTGTACCTAGTCACTCATTATTGGTCACAGAGTAATAGTAAGGAAGGAAATAAATGATATTTGTTTTTATATCTGTATCTATCCTTCTTTGTGCTTGAATTTTACCTCCCTTTTCTACTTCTATTTTAACTTTTTAAACTATTTTTCTCCTGTTTTTTCCTACCATTCATCATTATCTATTTTTTTTCGGGGGAGTCTCACTCTGTCACCCATGCTGGAGTATAGTGGTGTAATCACTGAAGCCTTGACCTCCTGGGCTCAGGCAATCCTCCCCACCTCAGCCTCACGAGTAGCTGGGACTGTAGACACGTGCTACCACACCTGGCCTTATCTGATCTTTTATTCTTCTAACTTTTCCTCAGTTTCTTCCATCTCTTCTTTATTTCTTTTCTTATTTCCAGAAATACATAACTAGAAATGAGGATCAGTTAGAGAATTTTGAATTTTAATTAATTGATCATTTCTTCAAAAGGGATGTGGGGTTGATAGATATGGCAGATTATATTTCCCAAAGATGAAGATGCCAATATACCCCATTCCTCATGTTCTTCTAGAACCTCACCATTCCACCCTCAAGAGGTGGAGCCTTACTTATTATGTCTTTCTTCTTGAATCTGGTAGGCCTCCATAACTGTGTCTACTAACAGAGTGTGGTAGAAGTGATGTTATGTGATTTTTGAGGCCAGCTTATAAAAATCCCATATATGTCCACTTTTTTATCTTGAAACACTTGCTCTTGGAGTTCAGTCATCATGCTATGAGAAAGATCAGGCAACCCATGGAGATGCCATGTGGAGAAGAACTGAGATCATTGTCCTGACTAAGCTCACAGCTAAAAGCTAGCATCAGCTAGCCAGGCATAAGTGAGTCATTTTGAAAGCAGCTCCTCCAGTCCACCACTGAACCATCTCAGTTGATGCCATGTGGAATAGAGACAAGCTCTCTCTGCAAAGCTTTGCCCAAATTTCAGATTAATGGGCAAAATAAATGTTTGATGTTGTCTTAAGCCAATGATTTTGTTATGTAGCAATAGATAATAGATAATCTGAGAGTCATTGTCTCTAGAAAATGGCACATTTAGTGTTCAGAAGGAGCACATCTCAAATCCTATTGAGTCCCATCTCATTCTGAGGAAATCGTGATTTAATTATTTGGTGCGTTTGTTTGAAACTAGATGCTATCTATTTCACCTTTATGAAATTTATAAAACCCTTTTCCTCAAAATATGGTCCAAGGACCAGGACCAGGAGCATCAACTTCATTTTGGAAACTTTTAGAAATGGAGAATCTTGGCCACCACCCTAGACTTACTGAATCCAGGATTTTTATTTT